TAAGAAATTTTTTTCTAAAGATAATACAGAAATGCCTACAACCATACATTGACAGAGCTTCAGACTTCAAGCCAGATTCAGAAGGGGACATTGAACTAGAGGGACATCATTGTTGACGTCAAATGGATCTTGGCTGAGAGCAGAGAATACCTCAAAGGTGTTTACCTGTGCTCTATTGACTATACAATAGTTCTGTTGCAGACTGTGCAGAGGTTCGAGGCCCTATAGGCCTGAGTGTAACAGATCTAGCCACTTGGCAGTTAATAGCAAATTGTTTTTCTTCAAATTGTTTAGTCATATTTATTTAATTCCAAACATGAGCCCTGGATGTCCACAGAGAAATGCAATATTCCCCTAAGTTTCTAAGGTCAAGATTTCCCCCCTAGAACCAAGGCAGTAAAACTTCCTCAGAGGACGAACAAGGACAGGTTTACTGGGATTAAGCAGGGAGGCTCTGGAGAGGAACTGCCCGGGGTATATTCACTTGAGGTGGAGCGGTAAATTCTGGGAATACGGGATTGAGGACAATGGGGACAACGCCCTCGGACCACCCTGGGTTCAATCAGTTTGATCCAAGTGAAGGTTAAACCCAGTAAGGAAGAAAGGAATATTGGTTTAAGTAAGGTTTACTGGCTTAACTTATCTTAAAGATTGCCTTGTCTGAATAATACCATTCTTCTTCTGTAAAGATCCCTCCCCGCTTGGTGTGAAGCTCCTCCCCTGAATAAAGCAGAGGCCTGAGCCTCCCCAGGTGTGCATTTGCTGGTTGGGAGGCATGGAGTAAAGATTGCCGTGCATTACGGGTTGGAAGGCATGCAGTAAAGATTGCAGGGCAGTGAGTTGCTGCCTGCAGAGGCCATGATGCCTGTAGTCCCAAGCCTGCCCACCAGTGATGTATCCACCCTGGCTTTGGGGTGCCTCATTGTCTCCCTTCTTCTGTTTGTCTGTGTATTCTTTTGCTATCCCTATCGCCGCTGGATCTCCCCTCCTCGTGAACCAAACACTCGTGAACAACACAACTATGTCGAGGGCAGACCCAGACATAGTTCTACTCTACTGACTATACTACAGTCCTGGTGTAGCGCTGTGGGTTCATGTGCTAGACTGCAAAGTCAGTTTGAACTGCAAGGTTGGTGGTTCAAGCTTACCAGTCGCTCCTTGGAAACCCTCTGGAGGTTCGCTGTGGGTTGGAACTGACTCAATGGCACTTGACAACAACAAACAAAATGGACTACACAAAGGCTTTCGATTGTGTAGCTCTTGACAAGCTATGGACAACATTGTGGAGAATGAGTATTCTGAAACACTTAATTGTGCTCATGAGGAACCAAGAGGCAGTTATTCATACAGAGCAAGGGAACACTGAATGGTTTAAAATTTGGAAAGGTGTTTGTCAAGGTTATATTCTTTCACTATACTTATTCAATCTGTGTGCTGAGCACATAATTCAAGAAGCTGTATTATATTAAGAAAAACGTGGCATCAGGATTGGAGGAAGACTCATTAACCTGCATATGCAGATGATACAACCTTGCTTGCTGAAAGAGAAGAGAACTTACAATACTTACTGATGAAGATCAAGATGACAGCCTTAGGTATGGGTTGCACCTCAAAGTAAACAAAAACCCTCACAACTGGACCAGTAAACAACATCCATATAAATGGAGAAAAGATTGAACTTGTCAAAGACTTCATTTTGCTCATATCTACCATCAACGCTTATGGAAGCAGCAGTCAATAAATCAAATGATACATGGCATTAAGCAAATCTGCAGCCCAAGACCTTTTTAAAGTGTTAAAGAGCAGAGATGTCAGTTTGACGCAAGCCATAGTATTTTCAGTAACCTCATATGCATGCAAAAGTTGAACAGTGAATAAGGAAGACCATAAAAGAATTGATATATTTGAGTTATGGTGTTGGAGGAGAATATTAAAAGTATCATGGACTGCCAAAAGAACAAACAAATCTATGTTGGAAGAAATACAGCCAGAATGCTCCTTAGAAGCCAAAATGGCCAGACTTTATCTCTCATACTTCAGGCATATCAGGAGAGACCAATCCCTGGAGAAGGATATCATGGTTGGTAAAGTAGAGTCACAGATAAAGAAAAAACCCCCAATGAGATGGATTGGCATAGTGGCAGCACCAATGGGCTGAAATGTAACAACGACTATGAGGTTGGCCCAGGGTCAGGCAGTATTTCATTCTATTGTGCATGATATCACTATGAGTTGGTACCAGCTCAATGGCACTTAACAACAACAAAGCATGACATCCCATCAAGTATATATAGTTATTCCATTCTAGATTCAATGTACTAAATAGAAGTCATTTTTATATAAGCAGTGTTGCTTAGTAATATAGTAGACATTCTTACTCTTATCAAGTTTCCAGAAGAACAAAGCTAGTTAACTAAAAGCCGGTTCTCATGCATAGGAAGAAAGGATATGGTCGCAGTTCAGAAAGTTTGAAATTACTGACTTAGAGCGATCTGGTAAATTGCACGAGGTTATACAGCTAGTTAGGCCAGGTTTTGAATCCAGAAAGACTGACCCCATGTTTTTAACCACAGTTTCCTGATGCTCATCAGTGAGCTTAACATAAACTAGAAGAGTGGCAGTGATGATAAAAAAAGAAGTAGACAGATTTTAGAAATATTTAGGAAATAAAAGTGAAGTAGAAAGCGTCAAGGATGATTCTAAAGCGTAAAGGAGGAGGAAAAGGTTAGAGGTAGAATTGTATTAGAAACCTACAACCTTATAATACAAACCATACTTTGAAATCATATGAAATTGCTTTTTAATTTTTGCTTCTTTCATGTACTAGAAAGGAAAAATGTATTATTTAATTTCTCATTCACCCAATTTCTTGAGAACTACCTACCTGCTCATTCTCCTTTGGAAACACAGAAAAGTTTTTATGCTTTCTGTTCATTAATGGATGAAATGTTATATATATATTATTTTTCATTCATACATGTAATTGGAACTTACATATCTTTATATTTTAAAAAAAGTACATTAAAAGTAAAACAGTTCAGAATTAGGTTTAGTAATAGCAGAAAGTATATATACATTTTCTCAATCACACAAATTTTGTACAATTGAAAACTTAAAATTCCAGTTCATTAGTAGAAGCTGTACATATTTTTTTCTCATGAAAACATTGCCTTAGAAATATTTCCAACCTGGTAATTCTGAGAGTACTTTGAAAATATATACTTTGTAAAAGAGTACTTTGAAAAATCTCAGCAATTCCTATACATGGTTGTGGAAAGCTGTTATATTTTTTTCTCACTCACACATGTATTGAGAACGTTTAGGTTCTAAAAGTATATTGAAAATGTGTCAAACTCTCATAATTCCTAATAGTGATTGGGGCAAACTCAATTTACTTTTACTGCATATACTTTTATTAACTGTATGTGTTTGATATTGACATGTCTTTGTAATTCAAAGGTTAATTTTTAAACTTAAAAAACCTTATAGAATTCTTGTTCATGAATAAACTTTTTTTATCTTCAAAAAAAAGAATGTTTTAGACATGTTGATTTTGAACTTCTTATGAGGTGTGCAAGTTGAGATTTCTGACTAGCAGTGAATGCTATTCTAAAGTTTGGGAGAGGTCTCTGCTCCTGTGTATACGTAGTAATTGAAGTCGTGAGATAAGTGAGGGCTCCCAGGAAGACTACACTGGGAAGAAATGGGGTTCCGTTATAAAATCCTAAGAAACACCCACATTAAGCAGAGAAAGAATAAGCCCACAAAGGAGACTAAGAGGAGAGCCAAGAACAGGAAGTTTAAGGGCCAGAAATGGGCTAGACTGGAGCAGTGGATATGAAAAAATTGAGAATATTAAATTTGTCAGCATTATTACCATACTAGACACAAATCACAAGTGGGACCAGTTTCTGCATTAGGCCATTTGACCTCAGCCCAAAGAGACAGCATGGTATGTGAGAGAACGCTGAGAGTTTAGAATCCGAAGAACTGTGTTGTAGGCAGGACTTCAAACCAGTTCAATTTTGACCTACAAAAGGAAACCAGAACTCAGGGAGGGAGAGGGGCTGTGTGCTGATGGC